CCAGCACCAGGTTTAGTTATATGGGGAAACGTTTTCCCCAATTTCGTTGTTTTTTCAGGGTTTATTCAAAGATCGATGGTGTAGATGTGTGCGTTATTTCATTGAGGGCTCTGTTTCTGTTCCAATTGGTCCTATATCTCTGTTTTGGTACCAGTTACCGTGCTGTTCTTGGTTACTGTAGGCTTGCAGTGTGTTTAAAGTCAGGTTAGCCACTCGATGCCTCAGCTTTTGTTCTTTTGGCTTGGATTGGTCTTGGCAGATGCGAGGGTCTTTTCTTGGGTTCCATATGGAACTATTAAAGCAGTTTTTTCCAATTCACTGGGTCAAAGAAAGTTATTGGTAGTTAATAGGGATTTGAATTGATAATGTATCCTTGGGCAGAGTATGGCCAGATTTTCACGAGTATGTGTTGATGTCTCCTGCATCCGATGGAGCATGGTATGTTCTTCCATTTGTTTGTGTCTGTTTTATGTTCACTTGAGGAGTGGTTTGTAGTTACTCCATATGAAGAGTCCTCATCTACATGCCCTTAGTATACTGCGATTCCTAGGTATTCTTATTCTCTTTGAAAAGTAATATGACAAAATGGAAAGAGAAATTCATGTGAACAATGATTGGCTCTCTGTTTGTCATACCTGGTGTATAAACTGCGCTTATGATTTTTGCATTGATTTGTGTATCCTGAGCTTGTGCTGAGTGATGCTTCGGAGCTTAGGAGATTTTTTGGCTGGAGACCATGGAGTTTTCTAAATATTACAATTCGATCTGTCATTGCAAACAGGGAAGACAATTTGATTCTTCTGTTTCCTACTGGAATCCCATGATTTCTTTCTTTGCCTGATTGGCCCTACCAGAAACTCAACGCACTATGTTGAATGGGAGTGGTGTGAGGAGGGCATCCGCTGGTCTGTGCAGTTTTCAGAAGGGGGCTTCCGTTTTTGTGCCCTTCGATGTATGATATTGGGCTGGGTTTGTGATAATAGCTCTTATTTTTTGAGATCGCGTTCCATCCACATACGGAATTTTGAAAGTTTTTAGCATGAAAGTGTTTAATTTTTTCAAAGACATTTTTCGATCGTATTGAGATATTGTGGTTTTTGTCTTTGGTTCTGTTTTATATGCTGAGATGTACATTTACTGTTTTGACTATGTTGAACCAGCCTTGCGCTCCAGGGATGAAGCACTTATCGATGGTGGATTAGTTCGTTTGGTGTGTGGCTGCAGTTCGGTTTGCCCGTATATGTATTGGAGTTCTTGCATCGATGTTTTCATTCAGGGGGATATTGGGCTAAAATTCTGCTTTTATTGTTGATGTTCTTGAGGCTATGATCTCGGCGAATGGATGTTGGCATCTCACAAAATGACGGTTAGGAGGATTCCCTCTTCTTTCTGGATTAATTGAATGTTTGTAAGGAATTGTACCAGCTTCGCTCTTGATATCTGCGTTAGGTTGAAGGTTCGCTGTGAGTCATCTTGTCCTGGGACTTTTTTGTTTTGGGTAGGCCTATTAATTCTTGGCTGCAATTTTCGAGCCTGCTAATTGTTTTCAGGGTTTCAACCTTTCTTCCTTGGCGGTTGGTCTTGGGGGTTAAGTGTCCAGGAATATTATCATTTTTTAGGTTTTCTAGTTTATTTGAATATGAGGTGTTCTATAGTATTCTTGATGGTTAGTTTGTATTGTCTGTTGGGTGGTGTCGATATCCCTTTATATTTTTTTATTGCATCCTATTTGATGTCTTCGTTCTTTTCTTTTTTAGTCTGTTACAGTCTTCAATTTTTGGTTGATCTTTTCCAAAAACCAGCTCTGGAAATCCATTGGATTTTTCGTTGAGGGGTTTTTTGGTTGTCTTCCTTCAGTGTCTTCTCGATCTTGTTATTCCTTGCCTTCTGCTCCGCTTTTGAAGTGTTTTGGCTTTGCTTTGCTAGTTTTTTATTGTGAAATTAGTGTCAATTTTTAGATCGTTTTCTGCTTGTGCTTGCCTTGTGAATGTTTGTGTTGTAAATTTCCCCCGCTACACACTGCTTTATAATGTGTCCCAGGAGATTCTGTATGTTGTCTTTGTCCCATTGGTTTCAAAGAAACTCTTTTATTTATGTTATTTTGTGTATGGTTACCCTGGTGTCTTCGAGGAGGCAGGTTGTTCAGCCCCTCCATGGTAGTTGAGGCAGTTTGTTTGGACTGATCTTCTTAGTCCTGATCTTTGTTTTACTTTCACTGTGGTCTGAGGAGAGACAGTTTGTTATTATTTCTGTTCTTTTACGCATTTGCTAGGCAGTGCTTTATTCGCAAGCTATGTTGGGCAATTTTGGGATAAGTCCGAATGTCGGTGCTGAGAGAGTGATGATTCTGTTTATTTAGAGGTGGGGAGAGTTCTGTAAGTGTCTATTGAGGTCTCAACTTGGTGGCAGAGTTGAGGTTCCATCCTGGATATCCCTTGTTAAGCTTTCTGTGTCCATTGACTGTCTTAATGTTGCCAGCGGTGTGTTAAAGTCCCCATTATTATGTTTATGGGTGAGTCTAGTCTGTAGTTTAAGATTTGCTTATGATCTGCGGTTCCTGGCTGTATTGGGTGCTACTATATTTAGGATAGCTTAGCTCGTTCCTGGATGACTGTGATCCTGTACTCATTAGTGTGAATGGCCTTGTTTGTCTCTTTTAGGATCGTTTGTTGGGTTAAAGTCTTTTAAAATAAGGATTGCAAACCCCCGTGCTTTTGTTTTGTTTTCATTTGCTTGTGTGAAAAATCTCCTCCATTATTTTGACACTATGTGTGTCGTAGGGCATGTTGTGAGATGGCGGTCTTCTGAATACAGCAAACTGATGCGGTCTTGGGATCTTTATCCACTATGGCTGCGCCATTGTGGCTAAGGACATTGTCTTTACATCTACAAGCGGTTCATATGTTATGTGAAAACTTGTCCTTGTCATATGAGTTTAGCTGGTTATTTGCTCATTAGGGTCAGATCTTCCTAGATCGATGGTCTTTAACATTTGCATAGCAAATGGCTGGTACTGGTTGTTCCTTTCATGTTGAGTGCTTCCGAGGTCTCCCGCCCTGTAGTCTATGCCTGGGTGTGTGCTCATTTCTAGCCATTTGCTTTGTTGTAAAGATTATTTCTCCTTCACTTATGAAACTTAGTTTGGCTGGATATGAAATTCTGGGTTGAAAATTCTTTTCTTTAAGAATGTTGAATTTTGGCCCCTGATCTCTTCTGGCTTGTAGAGTTTCTGCTGAGAGATCTGTTGTTAGTTTGATGGACTTCCCTTTGTGGGTAACCCAACCTTTCTCTCTGGCTGCCCTTAACATATTTTCCTCATCTCAACTTTGGTGAATCTGACAATTATGTGTCTTGGAGTTGCTCTTCTCGAGGAGTATCTTTGTGGTGTTCTCTATATTTCCTGAATTTGAATGTGGCCTGCCTGACTAGGTTGGGGAAGTTCTCCTGGATGATATCCTGCAGATTGTTTTCCAACTTGGTTACATTTTCCCCATCACTTTCAGGCACACCAGTCAGACATAGATTTGGTCTTTTCACATAATCCCATATTTCTTGGCGGCTTTGTTCATTTCTTTTTACTCTTTTTTCTCTATACTCTCTTCTCGCTTCATTTCATTCATTTGATCTTCAATCACTGATACTCTTTCTTCCAGTTGATCGAGTTGGTTACTGAAACTTGTGCATTTGTCATGTAGTTCTCCTGTTATGGTTTTCATGTCTATCAGTTCTTTTATGGTCTTCTTTGCATTGATTATTCTAGTTCTCCATTCATCCATTCTTTTTTCAAGGTTTTTAGTTTCTTTGCGCGGGTACGTAGTTCCTCTTTTAGCTTGAGTAGTTTGATCGACTGAAGCTTTCTTCTCTCAACTTGTCAAAGTCATTGTCCGTCCAGCTTTGTTCCGTTGCTTCAGCTCTTGCTGGTCGGACAGCACCCACTCACCAGCACTGACTGTCCGACATGCCCCAGTGAGATGAACCCGGTACCTCAGTTGAAAATGCAGAAATCACCCATCTTCTGTGTTGCTCAGGCTGGGTGCTGGAGGTTGGAGCTGTTCCTATTTGGCCATCTTGGGCGCCCCCTCCCATCCTTTAGTTATTAATGCAAGAATTTTAGAATTAGACAATTCTGGGTTTATATTTTTATTGTCATTAAATGTGGTCCGGGCAAATTTCCAAATTTCCTCATATACAAAATGGCGATGGACATACCTACAGGCCAAATTTATTCTTCAGAACAAATGAAAGAATGTTGTAGAAAGTAAGTTCTGAACTTTTATTATAGGCAGCTATTATTTTGTTATAACATTTTTTGCTTTCTTTAGTTTTATGAGTTCAACATGAAAATGTTGATTTGGTGTTTTTCATTCTACTTTTTCATTTTTCTCCTACCTCTGGGAATGCACATCAAGGTGGAATCCAACAATATTTTGTCGCCTGTATTGGAGTTGTGTACATTAGGAGGATCAGGTTACTTTGCAGTAAGAAATGTATATAACCAGATGATTTTTAAAAAGCACATTAGGAATAATAGATTTGAAGTGAGCATATTCTGTGCAGGAATTCATCTAAGCAGTTATAGCTAAACTGTTACACTGTCCATTTGACTTGACAATTCTTAGGAAAAAAGTAAAATAATAAGGCATTTATTTAAAGATTTTCCAAATGACTGTGCCTTGGCTTTTGTTAATAAATTAAATCTATGTTTATATGGAGAGAAATGTGATAATATTTCCAAACTGATTTAGGCTATGGTTAAGTGGATGAAGACTGACTGAGGCAGGTCTTTGCTCATCTCTTGCATCATATCAAGGTACTTTGGAAAACTTTTATTTTCTCTAATCATCATTTATATACAGTGAACAGCATTTTAAATACAAGAAATACAGTTTTCAGGAGTTGAAGGGGTTAAAGTATAGTGGAAGTCTTTAAATGTAGCACAATTATTATGGAAAAGCTATGAATTTACATCCTTATGGTTTTTGTTATTATTTTTTATTTGCAGGATGAGTAAGAGATACTTACAGAAAGCAACAAAAGGAAAACTGCTAATAATAATATTTATTGTAACCTTGTGGGGAAAAGTCGTATCCAGTGCAAACCATCATAAAGGTAAGCTTTTCAGTTTTTTTCCTCAACTGTTTGTGGATGATGACTACCCTTAACACAGGCTGTTATGTTTTGCCTCCACTGGTCTGTTAAATTTTACTAGGTATAGATTCTCCCCCTGGCAGTTTTCTTTAAGTAATAATGCAGAGTTATCTCTAAGATGGCTTTGATTGGGAAAGATGATATTTTCAGGATTAATGCCATTTCTGCAAATAGTGTTCAAAGAATATGGAAATATAACTATACCTTTCCTTCCCTTTTTAGATAGTGATATTAAAAAATTGAGTTGGCATATAATAAAGTTTCAGATTGCACTCATCCTGGTAAAGAAAGTATCTGCAATGATATGTATCTTAATAATATGTCTATATGTAAATTTTCTTTCAATGCTTTTTGTGGGTCATGTTTCTTTATGTCAGAGGACCACTTTGACCACCCTTTGGACACTGCCCCTGGTATGATATTCAGCAGACTCAATTCTGCCACTGAACAGAGTGAGAATATTTGCTCTATACATATGTGTTAAGCTTGACAGCTCACAATTACATTCTTTCTGCCCTCTTTCTTGGCTATAAGACTCAATATAATGAATAACTACTTTTTCCATGAGGCTATTTCTGAACTGTCCCTATCATAATCAAGTATTCATAACCTGAGAAATCAATTTAGATTTTTCTGTAAAATATGATTTTATAATTTAATTCTCTGCCCACTATAAAGTCTAGAGACTAACAACTTAGTTTCTCATTCTATTTTTGGGTGAAGGGGGAATTAAGACTGCTTTGAATTCTGTAACACTTAAATTAGTTACACATGTCCATTTAATTAGCATTACATGGAACATTAACACCAGGGAGAGAAAAGACGTGGTGTGTGGGACTGACGCTTATAAGACTAATCTCTTCCCCCACTATTTGAAATCAAAAAGGGACATCTTGCAAAATAAAATTTTATGAAGAGTTTTTTCATATTTCATTATCCTGTTTTCTACCCACAATATGTTTTCATGTATGTGAATATATATTCATATATTTTTTATTCTCCTTTTCTTTAATACAGCACACTGATCCACAGATAAGACTTTAAATTCTCTTTAATAATTTTTATCAGTGTAAAATTATGAAGATGTTGAAGATGACATTCCCTGTGGTCTCAAATTGGCAACAACAAACCAGACCAAAGAACGAAGCAGTATTAAATACTCATCTTTTAAAAGAGCTGCCATCCAATAGGGCCAAGCCCTGCCTTGGACTTAACAAGAAAACACACCCCATCCTCATTATTCTGATGGTCACCTTAGTGCCCCTTCCCAGTTTTTGAAAGAAGAACTGGGAGGAGTGGGGGATCATAGGAATTGTGGGCATCAGGCTAGCACAGCAAGTGTTCATGATAAAGATACTTTCTCATGTCCAAAGCCAAATGATGGGGTATCTTAAAGAATCACTCATAAAGACTGCTCACAGTGTATATTGCATGCTATTGTCAAAGCTACTTTAAGACATTTAAATTGTGTTATGTTCTATGCTAACTCTGAAACTAAGATCTTTTCTTCTTGCCAAGAAAATAGTCCTTGAACATAAGAAATTACACATCGTGTCAGAAAACTTAAATTGTCAAACCTGGTACATTACAGAAGATAGCGTTTTCTGTTTTGCTTTTCCCTTTCCACACTGCCACTGATACTTTGGATGAAGATTTTATGAAAGTTTTCTCCCATCCTCCATCTTTCTTCCTTTTGTTCTTTTTTCTTTCTTTTCTTTATATTTTCTGTACAAAATATCCTTTTTGTTTTGAGCTATTTTACATATAAAATAGTTAAGTGTTGTGTATACGTAAGTTGTAGACCATGCTCATAAAATGATTAATCATGCGCTCATCATCCAAGAAAGGCTAGGCTGCTATCTGCCTACGTGCAAAGCCCAGACTTTGGAGACTCCTTTGGGGTATCTGACCTGTGGAAGGATACAGTTACATTCTAAATGGTTAGGTAAGAACCTAGGATCCTTTCCACCTCATTTCAAAGGAGCAGAAGATTTTTCTCTCCTTTCAGGAGTGGGAGGGGAATGGCTGTCTCTCTCCTGTACATAAATGAAAATAATCCATTGTTTGCTGTCAGTCATCTATGGAATGTTCGGCTATCAATGTAGGACATTTGGCTTGGCTTTCATCAGGGTTAAGGCTTAGGGCGAGGCAGGCCAGTTCACTTTCTATTTATTGTGAGTTAATTAGTAAGAAATCAGTTTCTGATCCAGAACACCTTGGTGAGCATTCAAGATAAAAGTAATAAAGATGAATATTAGAAACTCGACAGACTAAAGAGCATTACAGATGCCAACTAATTTAATCTCATAACCATCTATGTGGTAGATACTATTTTTAAAACTATTTTTAGAGATCAGAAACTATGGCAAAGACAAGTTAAGTAATTCGTCCCAGGTTGCCCAGTTAGGAGCTATTGGAGGCAGGGTTCAAATCTAGGCAGTCTTGCTCCATATAACCATGAAATATATGTACTAGTGAATTTCTTTTTACTTACACAATTTGGGATTCATTCAATTTCCAGAGTATCTAAATTGGTGTCTCTCATGAACTCTGAAAAATTATAGGCACCATCTCCTGAAATGTAGTTTCTCCACCCACCACTGTCTCTACTAAACTAGAATTGCTGGCTAGGTATTAGGTATATGTCAGATTTTTCACTCTTTTCTTTATGTATTTCAACCTTTATTTTATATGTATATTTTACCTTCAAGTCTCTGTGCTTTATTCTGGGCTATTTATTCACATTTTTATTCTACCACACTAATTCTATGTTCCCTTGGGTCTAATCTACTCTTTAATTCACACATTAAATTTTAATTTTATTTATCATATTGTACCAAAATTTTGTCTTTTTTCTTGCTAATCTGCAAGCTTTTGATAGCTTTTTGTTTTCACTCATGTTTTCAGGTTTCTCTTTTTATATATCACTACATATACAGTAATAGAAATATATGGTGTATATATATAAATAGAAATATATACCATATATGTCTATATATTTCTAGCTGATGATCCTATTTTATGCAATTTTGTGTTTTCCTCCTAGTGACTTTCACTCATGGTAATTTATTTATTTTAGGACTTCTGAGTTTTAAGAAAAATTTTGTGAGCTGATGCTCATCAGAATTGTATTTGTAAGAATCTTAAAGGCCTGTCATTATAATGTATTATTTCAGAGGCAATTTGCATATGACATGAGTCTTAGGCAGGGTTTTTTGGAAGCAGAGCCAAGTCAGGAATTCTTGTTTACGTGATTTATTGAAAGAGTGCTCTCAGGAGAATGAGAGCAAGTGAAGCAGGCTAGAGCGGGAGGTAAAAACTAAGCACAAATAGAGTCTCAGCTGGAGAATCGCCCAGTCTGCTCCTATGGGGAATCTCTGAGACATGAATTGTTCCACAGAGATGGTCCCTCCTTGAGGCGGGATAGATGGCCTCGTCTACCCTTGTGTCCATGGGCCGTTAGCTACTGGCCTGTTCCGCATGGTAAGGAGTAGCCTCTCTGGGGAAGTGGCTCATCTTTAGGAGAAGGTAAGTCTCTAAAGAAGGGGACACCTGTGAACTGTGATCAGAGAACATTCACAGCAAGTGGAGGAAAGGTGCACAGCCCTAAAAGATTTTGGCGGTGTATCAGCAGCTACATTCCAGTGCAGTCTACTCACAGCCCTCAGATCCACCTGCTTCTCACTGAAAGTCACTCCATCCAGGCAAAGCTTATTCAAGATTTTGGTTGGTCACAATTTTCAAGAAGACTTACTAGAAGAGGAATAGTAAGAGTCCCGCTAATGCAGTTGGTGCTCATGGTCTGTCCACCCTACGCCCAGCCATTCTAGATTTTCCTCTCTGTTTACTAGCACTTCTACTCATGTAGGAGGCTTTCCTAATGTTCTAAGAGTTCTGAGCCCTGGGTTACCATTCTCTTGCTGCTGTACTTATACATTGGTAGTTGTAACTGGGCACGGGAATGCCACAAGATGCCCCAGTGGATCATCTGAGTACCTAATATATTCCTTTCTGCCTCTAGTGCACAGCAGCTGTCGTCTTCCTCATGGTCATCAGGGACCTTTACATTTACTCCATCAATATTAAACTCCTTTTCTCTCTCTCTCTGGTCTATCAGAATAAGGAGCACAGACTGATTGATGATCAGGCAACAGCTGTAGCTTTGTGTTTAGTGGGACTATTACTGTTTCCACTGGTAAACTTATCTGCTTTCTGGAAACAAGTTCTCCTAGACCCCTATAATAGTATATTGGTCATTTCAGTTGGATATTTCTCATGGAAAAGTTGTTTTTTACTTAATGATTTTTGAGTACCTACATTAAGGCCTGAGAATATAGCAGGTACAGAAAAGAGACAAAAATCTTTGTCTTCATGGGATGTTTATTCTAGAAGTGGAAAAATAGGTAATAAGAAAAATAAATAAAATGGGATGTTTTATGATATACGTGCTCTGGAAAATATATGAAGGAAGAAAGCATATAGGATGTATTCAGGAAGGAATAGAATTTTAAATAGGTCTTTGGGTAAGATCTAAAGTTTCCAGTGGAGTCAGCTAGTGGAGTGTTCAGGGAAAGGATGCTCCAGGCAAAGCAGCAATAGGTATGAATGCTTTCAATCATGCCCGTAGACAATTAGAAATAGCAAGGAGGATGGCGTGCATAGAATATTTAAGGGAGAGTGTGGTAGATAGGTCATTATGGAACAAGTAAATGTAGAATATGAAAGAACCAAATAAATAAATACCTCTACCAAAATACAAATACAATAATATCCTGCTCTCAAGAGCCACCAATGGACAATTGTATTACTCCGTTTTCTGAACATGACATAGGAACACTATAGACATCCAGAACATTTGGATTTGAAAAAATGGGTATCTAAAAATCAGAAATTGTTGTCATCTTCTTAATAAAACCTTCTGTGCTTTGAGAACTAACAGTTCCTCACATACAAACAGATAA